CTCTCTCTCTCTCTCTCTCTCTCTCTCTCTCTCTCTTTCTCTCTCTCTCTCTGCCTTCCTCTCTGACATAAACAACAATTTTTAAAAAGTGTCAAGTTCTACTTCGCAGCTGCACTGACCCTCCCCACCGCCCCCAACCCCCCCTCTGGATTTGGGTGTGTCTTCCTCCTTCCGTCTGCGAGTGACCTAACAAATTTAAGAGTCAGAGTCTTGGCGGAGCAGCTTCTTGTCCCTTCGAGGAAAAATTCAACAGGAGCATACCCATTCTTTAAAGAGAAAACACAAACAAACAAAACAAGACACAAAGCCCATTGCCTACGCTCAAAGGATCAAGGCTTCTTTGCTCCCTCCCCAGCTCCCGCCCCGGCCGCTGCACACACTGCTCACAGGGAAGCTCCGACACAGCCACGGGGAGCAGCCAGGCTGCCGAGCTCCGAGCTCCGCGCACTCCTCCGCACTCCTCCGGGAGGAACACGGCTCAGCGGCCCATTCGGGCGTCAGGGACTTAAATGAGGGCTCGCATGTCACTTCATCGAGCAGGAAACAGCTGGAGCACCTGGTGATTGTCTGCATTTACCCGTAACATGGTCTTGACGTATTCTGAGAACACGGCCCAGTAGAGTCTGTTGCCGCCGAAGGTGCGCCGCATGAAGAAGCGCCCGACATGCGCAGCAGCTCCCCGATCATCTTCATCCCCAGGAAGTCTAGAGGGGGAGGGGTCAGCAGTGACTGCAGAGCCTGGACGGTCCATAAAGACCTAACTCGTGCTCTGCTAAGGAGGATCTCGTGGATGTAAGACACTCCTGTGACCTTCAGGATTCTAGCTTCTGAGATCAAAGTCCCCAAGAAGAGACATCTCATGGAATGATGGGAAGGAGGGACCACGTGGGCAGGTGCCTGCTGGGAGGGAACCCTGCGCCCCCATGCACCTTGGGGTTCACAATCAGACCAGATGGAGCCGGGGGGGAGGTGGGGGACAACGACATTTTTCCTTCCAAGAGCCATGTGGATATTTATAACATCATTCGAGGGCCATACACAATTATCCACTTAAACTTTAGCCTGCTGCCCGGCCAGCGTGGCTCAGTGGTTAAGCGTCGACCTATGAACCAGGAGGTTACAGTCTGATTCCTGGTCAGGGCACATGACTGGGTTGTGGACTCGATTCCCAGTGTGAGGCCGATCAATGATTCTCTCTCTCCCTTCCTCTCTGAAATCAATAAAATATTTTAAAAATTAGCTGCTATATTTGGTCAAACATTTAATTACCTCCCCATGATGCATTGGCAGGGCCAGACCAAATGATTTCTCGGGCCTTACACAGCCCACGAGCCGGACGTCCCCCACCCGAGCTAGAGGCAGAGGGAACGGCAGGCCATGTGCCAACCGCAGCAACGTCATCAGGCCGACTTCTTCAGTCAGCACCGCTGCTGACCTTCATAGGCCAGCATGTGTCCACAGGCCCTGGACAGTCAGGCCAACAAGCTCCCCCTCCCCAGTGGACCATCCGGTAAAACACCCACCGTCTTTAATAAAGAAGCCGGGCTAAGGGGAGGAGTTCTAGCATCAGTTCACAGGAGCCCTTTTCATTTTCCCTGATTTTCAAATAACTTCCTCACATGTCCATAGACGAAAATGCGTTTAAAGTGCTTAAGTCCCAGCCGTATTTCACCCCACTGTTTACCGCCTTTATTACCAGCCGTATATGTTTAAACCGCAGCTTCCCTGGCTACCCTGAGAGAGGGTAAACACATAACTTATTTGCCTTAGCAATCCTACTTTTGGGACCCCATCCTCCAGGAATGAAAGCACTGGTATAAAAATCAGTGGTTGCGATCATTCCAGCGCACGTTTTAATCTTTACAATCGAAGAAAGGAGAGAAGTGCACGCACCCATCCCCGCCGCGATGACAGGGACCGGCAGGTCATAGTTGTACAGAAGGAAAGACAACATCAGGAAGTCGATGTAGCTTCGGTGGCTGGGCAGCAGGACAACCGGGTGCTCCTGGATGGCTCGCTGTAGCTTTAAAATACAGAAAGGAGACGCTTTGAATCATTTCAGTGTTCACGTTATTAAAGTCACCTCACGGCAGAACACGGGAGGATGTGCACGTGGATGGAGGGGAGACTGATACTGCGTCTGCCTCCCCTCCCACACACACGACATGTGTTTGAGTTCTAGGTAACCTCACCCAATGCAAGGATATGGGGAAGGTAAATTTTGATGGATTATAACAATAACACTGATGATCGCTCACTTATATTAGGTGGGCACCATATTAAGCATTGTACGTAGTAAGCATGTTACACACATTGTTTAATGCCAGGTATTTGTGAAGAGCCTTAGCTTCCTTGTGTGTGGCATGGCCACGCATTTAATAAATGGCAGAGCTGGGAACAGAAATGAGGTCAGTCGGAATGAGAAAGTCAGCTGTGCCCGGCTGGCGTAGCTCAGTGGTTAGAGCATCGAGGTCACGAGTTCAATTCCCGGTCCAGGGCACATGCCTGGGTTGCAGGTTCAATCCCAGGCCCGGTCGGGGCTCGTGTGGGAGGCAACCAATCGATGTGTCTCTCTCACATTGATGTCTCTCTCTCTCTCTCTCTCTCTCTCTCTCTCTCTCCCTTTCACCCTCTCTAAAAGGCCATGGAAAAATACCCTCGGGTGAGGATTTAAAAGAAGTCAGCTGTGCGCCCTGCTCCAAACGTGTCCACAGCGAGAGAATGCGCTTCTCTCGGGAGATTAAAAACAAAACCTACGAATTTTTAGGACACGGGAAAGGAACAATACTGCCAGGGACAGTGGGTGCCATGGAGCTGGGAGGCATGCAGGGGAGCTCCCAGATGTACCCCCGAGGCTGTCAACCTCACCCGTGTTCACTGGTATCGATGTGTTGTCTGTTTCTCTGAATCCTAAGCAGGACCGACTGAGGGAAGGAGATTTGTGATCAGGGAGGGCATGGCCAGCCAGCTGCCCTGGCCCCAGGCACAGAGCCAGCCGTTCTTGGGCAGAGACCTGGCAGTGAGTGAGCGATCTGAAGTCACAGGAGGAAACACTTGAGTAAAGAGAATCTTCAGAGGCAGCCAATGGATGCTTCTCTCATCAATGTTCCTCTCTCCTTCTCTCTCTCTCAAACCAATAAAAACATATTTAAAAAACAAATTAAAAAATATAATCTTTATAGGAAAGTGTTTCCTTACAGGAAAAAGCAAACTATTAAGAAACAGAAGTGACGGAATTAGAAAACTCACCATCTGGCAATCATCACACACCACCATGCGGAGGCCGAGCCCTGTGCCCGGGGACGCCTGCCGGCCAGGCCTGCCCACTGAGTGCAGGTGAGAAGCCGAGGAGCTGCCCAAACAGGGAGGGGCGAAGGAGAGGGGGCTGTTTCAACCAGAAATACTCACTTTCTGAATACCTTCTTCATTGACACACACTTTGGAGTAAATCTGTTTAAATATTTTGCTCAGGGCAAAGGCAAAAAACCGGATGGCTCCCAGACGCAGCTTGTGGCTCATTTCATCCAAGATCTGGCACGCTTCCTCGCGGAGGGCATCCTGGGACTGGACGGACTCCTTGGAGAGCTGGAGGGGAGAGAAGCAAGGATGCGTTTCTGGAAAAAGGAGCCACAGCTCTTTCATTCACACCAGGTCCACACGGCTGATACTGAGAACTCAAAATTAATACGTTTCTCCTTCATGTAGGTGGACATTGTATATTTTCCAATGAAACACAAGTGGATAAATGATCCTCTTTAGACAACTTCAAAGACTAGGAACTCACAGGGAATCGGCTTTCCAGGATGGCATGTGAGACAGGAGACCAGCCCCCTCTCCGTCAGGTGTGTTACCAGCTTCCACCAGGAGCCACGGCCCTAAACACACGGCATGGCGCCTTTCAGTGACTGCTCGATGCCATGACCGGGTCATGACCAAGGCAGAGACAAGCCTACACTGAAGCCCCATTCGCACCACCTCAGACACACGGGACCTGCTACAAATCCCCCGACTATCAAAGACGATCAGTGAGCTCCACGCGCTCACAAGGAAACGCCTTCACTCCCACCGCAGAGCAATCTCCTGATAACGAAACAAAATGCTGGCTGTGTGCGAGCCCTGGCCAGGGCCTGGAGACGAGCGAGTCCGTTTCTGTCCTCAGGGAAGCCAAACTGAATCCTTCCAACCGCCCCCACACAGGCACTTTGAAAAGGAGGAAAGTCTGTGTGTTAGCTGATGGTTACCCAGTCAGGGCACAGGCCCAGGTTGCGGGCTCCATCCCCAGTGTGGGGTGTGCAGGAGGCAGCCGATCAATGATTCTCTCATCATTGATGTTTCTATCTCTCTTTCCCTCTCCCTTTCTCTCTGAAATCAATAAAATAATGAAAAGAAGAAAAAAAAGAAGGAAGAAGAGAGAGGAAAAATGCTCTTCCAAGTTGGAAAGCCTTCAACTTGTGTTTTTTTTTTACAATCATCCCATTTTTTAAAATTATGATACAAATATACATAATATAAAATTTGCCATTGCAATCACTTTCAAGTGTACAGTTCAGTGGCCCTGGACCTGTCTATAGACTGAAGGGAAGGAGCTGATGAGAACAAAAGGCTGCAGAGAGAGGACAGGGAGCGGCGCGGTCAGTCTGTCCCAAACAGAACTCAGCTCCTCTCCACTCCCGCCCCCTCCCTCCCCCCCCCGGCTGTGAAGGGTTCTTCCCTTCCCTTAGTAATGTCTACTTTACCTCTCAAATGCTTTTGTTGTCTAAAAGCCTTTGTACATTTCTGATCAGGGAAAGGGCAATCTCAATGTCAACTTGTCACCTAATCATAAACTTGAACTTACAGGACTCACTTCCCTACACCTACTGACTTTGACAACATAACTTAAAATGCAAACAGCCCTTCCGTTCCCTAGGGTTATGTGTTTAAAGAATAAACAGGATCCCTTGCAATAGCCAACACTGGTACTTGGCGAGGACAGGAGCAGAACAAGGTCAAGAGCATTGCAACGTAGTAGCCCAGCAACTCAGTAGCCCAAACATCATTGCAACCAAGTTGCAGGCACCAAATAAAAAATGGCAGGTGCATCGGCTTAAGGTGTCTACACTTTAAGCATCATGAGCAGATTTCTTATCTCTATTTTTAGCCAGACATGTTTCTAAAATATAAACGAATCGCACCAACTCCAAATGGAAATCCTTCAATGGCTTTGCACGACTTCTAATTCTGCTACGAGGTTTGCAACGCCCTCCACACCAGAGGCCCTGCCTCCTTCTCCAGCCTCAATTCTTACCACGACCCCTTCTCTGCTTCTGTGGTCTGGTCATGTTAAACCACCTTCAGTGCTGCAAATACGTGTGTTCTCTGGTCCTTAAAACAAGCGGGTGGTTCCCAAACTGCCACCCTTTGGAATGGACCGAGCTTCCTTAAAGACTACTGATGGCTGGCTTCTTCCCGACCTCCTGGTGTAGTTGGTACGGGGTGGGGCTGACGCACAGGGATTCTTAGAGCTCCCGAGTGAGGTTTGAAAACCACGGGGAAAGTTATTTGCTCTGTTAGAAATACTCCTTTCACCCAGTTCACCTGGAAAACTCCTAATCCTCTTTCAGGCCTCATTTTAAAAAATCTCTCTCTAACTCCCTACACAAAACTAGCTTCCCCTCTAACAGGTGGCCCTGCAGTGGCGCCCACTAGCGTATCTTGTATCAAAGTTGATGATACAAGATGAGAGGAAAAATGCTCTTCCAAGTTGGAAAGCCTTCAACTTGTTGTTGTTTTTTTACAATCATCCCATTTTTTAAAATTATGATACAAATATACATAATATAAAATTTTCCATTGCAATCACTTTCAAGTGTACAGTTCAGTGGCCCTGGACCTGTCTATAGACTGGTGCTCATGCCCCATCAGACTGCACACTGAAGAGGCAGGAACCCTGCTCCGGTCGCTCACTGCCAGACCCCGTGTCTAGGACAGAGGCTCACACATGTTCTGGCAATGGTATACATTTGATGAATGTGCTGAATGTGGCTACACCTAAAAAGATACATTAAGCCCAGCCCAGCCAGCGTGGCTCAGTGGCTGAGTGTGGCCCTAGGAACCAGGAGGTTGTGGTTAGATTCCAGGTCAGGGCACGTGCCCAGGTGCGGGCTCCATCCCCAGTCTGGGGCGTGCAGGAGGCAACTGATCCGTGATTCTCTCTCATCACTGATGTTTCTCTCTCTCTCCCTCTCCCTTCCTCTCTGAAATCGATAAAAATATATTTTTAAAAAAGATACATTAAAGATAGCCAAATAAATTCATAGCATCAAGAAGAGAAAGCACTTGTTGACCAGGAGCAAACCGGGCTGCGTTGAAGAGGACTCACTTACCTGCTTAATGACATAATAAACCTCTTCGGAGTTGAGAACACTAGACTTAATATCGTTTGGCGTGCACGGAATGAGCCCCTTATACAGGAGGGGGGTGTAGCACTTCATGGCAAACTTCAGGTCACTGACATGCCTCCTTTCCTCTAACATATCTTCAAAGTCATCCCACTTTTTGAGCTCCTTCTGTGGACAAGGTAAAGGAAAGAAAGTCATGTACATCCTGTATAATAAGTCAGGACAGATTAGGGACTGTAATTGTAAAGCTTTATTTCTGCCCAATTTGTATGCTGTGACAGGTGACAAGAGCAGAGTGACCGAGTGTTAGATTTTCATATTCCAAGAAAAAATGTAAATAGGATCAATACATTGATATTGAATTATCATCATGTTTTATTTTATCTTTTAAATGTTTTTTTTAATTGATTTTAGAGAGAATGGAGGGGGATAGAGAGAGAGAAACAAAGATATTAGAGAGAAACATCCATCGGCTGCCTCCTGCATGCTCCCCGCTGGGGATCGAGCCTACAACCCGGGCATGAGCCCTGATGGGAATCCAACTGTGACCTCCTGGTTCATAGGTTGACACTCCACTGAGCCACGCTGGCTGGGCTATTTTTTAACAGGATTTATTTCATTGTAAATATATAACTTAATCTTTAATATTTTTTGAATCCTCACCCGAGGATATGTTTATTGATTTTTAGAGAGAGTAAGCAGAAGAAGGGGGCGGGGGGGGGGAGTGGGGGAGAGACAAGCATCAATCAGTCGCCTCTCATACATGCCTGACGAAGGATCGAACCTTCCAAACAGGTATGTACCCTGATGGGAAGCAAGCCCGCAGCCTTTCGGTGCACGGGACGATGCTCCAGCTGACTACCCGGCCAGGGCTTACGCTTTAATTTTTAATAATGGCTGCTTTTAACATTGGGCTTGCAAGCTTCATGAAAATTTAACGATCAGCTCTGACAGCGAGTACAAGACTATAGACTCCGGCTGCCAGCACTGGAAACGAAATCCTCTAAGGACAACGGGATAGAGTAACTAATGAAAAGGGGTGCGAGTGCTACTCGAGATTGAATGGCTGGGGAAGTCCTCTCTGGGGAGGAGAGCTTTGTGCTGGGACCTCAATAATAAAAGCAGCAGCGGCTGCCCGCCTGGTGATGGGGTGTCTTGTACCACGTTGTAAGGAGTCGAGATTTCTCATTCAGAGTCTAACAGGAAGCCATAGTTTGGGTGACAGGTGCGCCAGCGATCCCCCACACCAGCCTCCTTTGCATTCTGTGGTCTCACTGCAAGACTTCCCCAGGCCAGTGCTTAGGATACAACCTACTTGTGATGGTTGCCAAGCCTACATGTTTAGACCAGCCCTTCCTCTTTGCTCGGCTCCCATATTTCTAACTCTATTCGGATGTCTCCCAAGCCCCTTGTGATGGATCTGGTCCATAACATAATAATCCACAAATTAAAAATCATTAACTTTGCCCCGGCTGGTTTGGCGCAGTGGACAGAGCGTCGGCCTGCGGACTGAAGGGTCCCAGGTTTGATTCCAGTCAAGGGCACATGCCTGGGTTTCGGGCTCGATCCCCAGTAGGGGGTGTGCAGGAGGCAGCCGATCCATGATTCTCTCTCATCATTGATGTTTCTCTCTCTCCCTTCCTCTCTGAAATGAATAAAAAATATATTTTTAAAAAATCATTAACTTTGCCTCCCCCATCTCAAACTGAACACAACCCCAATTACACCCTGACCAAACCTGCTCTGTCCGCATCTCCTATCTGCGAAAGGCATCTCATCCACCCAGTTGCCCAATCACAGAAACCAGGAGTCAACCTGAGTCTGCCTCCTCTTCCTTAGCCACCCCTTCAGCTGCCCTCCACACCCCACAGGCGGCCCACTGCCCTCTCCCCACACTCACTGTCACTGCCGGCTCGGGCTGTCTTCCCTTCTCTGTCCTCACCCATGTCCAGGATCCTGGCATCAAATTCCCTCCCCAG